GTCAACCAAAGAAATTGGCTGTACATTGGTTGAGATATACGACTTTGATCTTCGGAATTCTCGACAGAGCTCAAACGTCGTCTATATAGAATGTACGCCGAAACAAATCCGATGGCGTTTGTTAAATTTGACTTTGGCTCATATGAGTTGCTCTTATAGATAAAAACCTGTTTCTGTCCTACCCGCAGCTGAGTTTTTGCTTTATTTTTAGGGACTCGATATAACTCGGAAATCTTTTTTTGCTAACACTTTGCTAAGAGATTACTATAGAGCTAAAACGTACCGATTCCTTTGCCGCTGATTGAAGAATCGCTTCCACCTAAAATAAATAAAGTAGTTGTTACAAACTTGTGCGTGAAATAGAGGCAAAAAAACTTTATTCTTTACATGCTTGTGAACATTCTTCTTTCGTACGAAATATATTATCTGTTTCATATAATAAACCAATACCGCCATAGATAAATTGTTTACAGGTATGTTCAAATTTATTATACCAATAACGATGAAAACTTCCACGGCCAATACCAACAGTACCATATAATGATTCACCATTACAACGAGCATCTAAGTTGTAAAAAAGAATATATAAGTTTTATTAATTCAAACGGACAAAACAATTTTAGTAATTGAATGAGAAAAAGAAATTTAACTTTATTTATAAGCTCTTTTCAAAGTTTTTGATTTTCCTTATTCAGCACAAAACATACATGAGACACATTTGTGTGACCACCAGAATCGAAAAAAATACAATGTATAAAATCCGGCTCAGTTTAGGTTAAGTTCTGTATTTCGGATAATGTAAATTTGTCGAAAAAGAAACACCGTAGAATTTGAAATTTCTTTTTGTTATTCAGGGAACTCTTGTTTACTATTAGTATAAGGATTGACAAAATTCAGGTGCATGAAAAAGTGTATAATCAATGTCAAGTGATCAGACTCAAACTCATTTGGATAAAAAGAGGGGAGACGGTCAGAAAATATAAGTCTTCTTTGAAGCAGTCAGATCTCTGGGGCAAATACGAGAAATCGATGCGGGCACTATTTGCTAAACCAGACAATGCCTAAAATTCCATACGAGTACCCCTAAATACGTTAGAATCGTCCAATCATAGAGTCGACTATTCTGATCACTAATTTCGCCTTTAAACTTCAAAATGAAAAGATGGCTCAGGAAAAAAACGTTACGAAACTTGACCCTTCGGTGAAAAACAGGTTTTCCAAGCTCTAGCGTCCACTGTTCGCGTGGGAAATAAATGAAAAATCGCTCTGTACATCAAGAAAATGATGCTCTATCTAGTGATATCGCGATTGAATTTTTAACAGTGTTTTCCGCTAGAAAGCTTAGGAATATCGCCCAAACCCTAAAAAATCGATTTTTGAGGCCTCCCGTTCGACCTGAAGCTTGAAACTTTGTCACAATATGTCACTTTTTTTCCTCTTTTCCATGACAATGCCAGAAGAAACTGAACAGGTTTCGAGAAAGTCTCCAGAAAATCTTTTCGAGATCCTCAAGAGCATTGAGCAAACTGAATTCTCCATCGTGATCAACATATTTTATTATCTATTCTGACTCTTGTTCGACGTACTTGTGGTCAGGCAAAATATGCTGAAATATGCTGACAAAGTTTCAAGGTTCAGGTCGAACGGGAGGCCTCAAAAATCGATT